CCGGGAATCGGGGGAGACGTCGGTGCCTCGGGCGGGCGGCGGGTTCCGAAGCCATCTCCTGCTCAGAAGCCGGGCCGGGAGGAGGGCCAGGACCCACTCTGCGGGCCTGGCTGCCCCCACTTCCCTTTCGTCTACACCACCCTCCACCTCGGAAGCGAGATAGCAGTCGCCCACTGGACAGTTTGAAGGAGACCGCAGATCTGCATGCGTTTCCCTTAGGCCTCGACACGGCGGGAGTTGCCCAGGCCACTCCTGCAGCAATTGGAGCGGGGGCGGGGGGTCCCTGAGCCAGGCGGTCCCCTGGGTCTCCCGTGGGGTTCCCTGTGACCTGATCGGAGGTGCCTTTGCCTCACACCAGCCCATTGGCCAGCTAGGAAGGCCCTGAGTGCATTTAATCCCACTGCCTGTGTGCTAACAGGTGTGTCCAGTTTCTGTTCTGTGGATTTTAACCACGATAAAAAAAAATTGGGGGAGAAAGATAATTTTTGTAATATGACTTTCATGCTTAACACATGTTACAGATTCGTTTAATTCCCTCAGTGAGAGAACTAAGCAGACGTTGGAACTAGGTTCAGGAAGTCAAAGTAGCACTGATTGACTGCGTTCATTGAAGCTTGGTCGGAGGCCTGGTGGGGAGGTGGGCGACCACAGAGCCTCGGGGACAGGACGGAATTCGAGTGACTCGGGAAGTGTCTCAGCATCTACAGTGTATGCAAGCGTGTCCTGAAGAGTTGAGATCAGTGCTGCTCACCTCTCCCCAGTATCGCCACCCTAAGGAGTCTTTTTAGACACTTTCCCCCTAATCATCCGCCTATGACATCTTTTTTAAATTTTACTTTTAAGTTGACAAGTGAAAATTGTATGTATTTATGGTGTAATGAACTCTTAATAGCACAGAAATACTCCACATCTGTATGAACCGTATGGAGCACGTGAGAAAGTGTGGCCGAGACGAGGCAGAAGTTTCCAGCAAAGCACAATTTCTTTCTCCCTACTGTACACATGCACTGATCGTACAGTTCTGTTTTTTAGTTAACCACTGTGTTCCCCTCCTTCATTCTCTCTTCCAGAGCCCTTTTGGTATCAGCTGAATCGTTTAGCATTTTCCCCCACCTTTCTTTGTGACCTCTGCTGAGGCACTGTGGAAGTCCCGCGGTGACTTCCGACCGAGTGGAGTTGAAACACTTGAGTCAAGGTGGTACCCCTGGTGGAAGAGAAGATTTCTTCCCATGTTGATGTGGTGGCAGGATGCCTCTCCAGAGCCCCCCACCATGTTTGGATGATTAATTGGGATCTGAGCAGCTGAAGAAGGTCCTAGCATTGGGCGGGCTTGGGGGACAGAGAAACCATTCTAGTGAAGATGGACTTTGTCTTTGAGTTTTGTGTTGTGAATTTTATTGGAGCATGGTCTTACAGGCCAGAAGTGACCAAAGACAGTGTTCTGGAGGAACTTAGAACGGGGCAGTGAGGGCTGGAAGATTTGGAATAAAGTCCAGCTTTAGTTGCAATAGCTCGAGGGGACACTACTGTAAGAGTCGCCTGGCAGGCATGTGGCGGTGCTGAAGGGGACACTGAGCCACGCTGTGTTGGCTGTGTGCTTGGGGCTGCTAAGGTGATTGTCAGGAGGTGACTCAAATGTGCAGATAACTCGTTGTGGGAAATAGGTTTATTTGTGGTGGTTCGTCACG